GCGCAACGGATAACGCGTCTGACTACGGATCAGAAGATTCCAGGTTCGAATCCTGGCAGGATCGGTGGAAAAATTTTTTTTTCCCAAAATGATAAAGTTAATAAATTATTTGTTTATCTCGACTCGTAACGCAAAATAGTTTAATAATTTACATTACTCCTGATTAAAGCTTAATATTCATAGAACAGGCGCATTTACATATGTTTATAATTGTTATCAATAACTGTTTCTTTTTTAATTAAATACTTTCGCAAAATAAAAGACTGATTCGCTGATTAATGCGGACAATTACTCATGAACGATGAATACATTCACCGTTCAGTTATGCATACTCCCAGAAACCTTTCATACCATTTCGAGGTAGAAGCAGACGACAAGACGAAACAGGTTCAACGATGAGAGGATATTTCATCAAACGAAATACTGTCCAGCAGGATTGGGCAAATATTTCACTGGCGAATAAGGATATTGTTTAAACTTCTGAATGATGATTTGGTTTGATGTAACATAAATTATTGCTGAACTTTTTATACCAAATTAATTTGTATAAATATTTAAAAAGTGAGACTTAAATGAAAACACTCATAGATGCAATTATCACAATTTTCATTATATTGTATCTTTCTCGTTTTGTTATGATACCTTAAACACGAATAAATATACTTTCATCATCGAGTTGGTAGTCGATGCCTTCTACTGTTAAAATACGATTCGCCCTTTAGAAATACCTTCTCTTACTGTTTAGCTGCTAAACAGTTAAACCTTGACTGCTCGAAAAGGTTCAAGAGGAGGAGGGTCAACGATGGAATGTAGATATACGTGGGAACGCGTTACGGTGATTTTTAGCAATGCGTTTCACAGCTACGCTCCACACCGGTCTGGATCGGTCAAATGTATCTGGAATTCAGACTCAGAATTACGGTCTACACTTTTCCAAAAAATAATTCTTTTTGTAGAATATTTCAAGTACAATAAATTTAAAAATTGTTATTAATGCAATAAATTTTAAATGTGCAATTAAAATTTTAATAATTAAAAATTGAAGTTAGATAGAGCTAAACGAAACTGTGTTTGCTCATTTTAATGTTATGATTATCATTATTAATTGTTTTCACAGTAAAAGAGTTTCTCCAATTTTGCCTTTTTTTTATCATTATGTGATGTCTGTCTTCAGGATCCGGATATCATATCGAATCCGCGGACGATACGCCGGAATCCTTACTATTAATAGCTCTGGACCGATCCTGAATTCCAGCGAAGGCAGCACGGTGTATAAAAGGATGCCTACTTTAATGCCCTGAAAACTAATTGGAAGCGAGCGCAGTCGGTGGGTCAAATAAATTAACCCAGTATGCACTCGAGAACCGGTTGTAAGACAGTGTAAACTGAGATGGACCATCAAGGTGAGTAACGAAGATAGACCGCAATGGGGAATCTTCAAATTGACAAAATCATTTTGCTTTTACGTAATTCTCGTATAGAGTTACCAATCTCGTTTTATGCTATTTTTAATAACGATCCAATTAATAAAAAGAACAAACTTCTGTTCTCGTTATTCTTGATAACAATTTTTCATCGTGATTTTCAATATATGCCAGAAATATATTTCTGCAGTTTGTAACTTCAAGTAACAAATATATCAGTATTCAAAAGTATATTTATTTTTAGAAATAAAAAGGAAGTAAACTTGATAGTTTCTGGTTCTATGAATAGATAATAATCAAAATATCTTTTATTATTAGATCTTCCTTGTACAAAACAAAGCTTTTTAAAAAATATCATGTCATAATTTAGTTGAGGCAGATATTTTGACGTTCTTCTTTCAGTATGTACCTGTAAAAACGATGTGTACTAGCTCCAAGTAACAGAATGTGTACGTGGGTGTAATACGTATACATCCAGGTCGAAGGATCGAGTGGTTCGGTGATTCAGTGCGAAAGTGTGTAAAGGTTCGATGATCATACAGTGCCGTCCATGGATAATCTCGCCGCTTGCATTTTATTCTGCATTACTCAGCTTTCTCGGACGAAATATTCGTTGAACCGATGGATTTTTAACTGGAAAAGGTTTCTCTTACCTGTGGTCTGCGGGTAGGCGTCGACGTGGCTCGATACTCGATACATCAGCTGCTACGGACCTACCTACCTGTGACTTCTCAGTGGAGAATGGCAAACGTCGCGGAAGAGTGGGGCCAAAAGAAAGGGACCGGTTTTTCTGGTTTTCGATCTCTTCGACCCTCGTAGCCTATTCTCGTCCCACCTTCGACGTAGAGTACACTTTATGTATATTTCTAACACACACAATGGCTACAAAAAAGTATTGACACGTACCCAATTTCTCAATATGATGCTACTTGATCACGTACATCGCACGCGATCTGTAGCAGAAGCAACTGAACTCTTTAAGAATAAAGAGAAGAAAAAAAGAGAAAATGAGAAGTAATATCTGTAAATAAATTTCTTTTCCGATAGAAAGTATTTTTTTTTATATAAATATCACACGTTCTTTTACTCAAAGAGCAGAACATGCGTTTGTACGAAAGAATGCGACATGAATTAATTTACATTTGAGATTTCTCTATACGCGATCTTATTTCTATATTCTACACGTCTACAAGATCATTGGCGGGGATAGATATTAGATAATTACACAAAGCGCAGTTATTTACTGTGCGTAGTACTTGCCACTAGCATCGAGGAGAGATTACTGTTTCAGTAGCGCTCTGTTGAAGGTATTTATATACTCATGAATATAATATTTAGTAATGTAATCTTAGAAAGTAAAATGTTAAGAATTAGACAAGCGTATTATATGCTTTACACATTATTAACATTTACACTTGAAGCGATCAATTGTTAATCCCATTTTTCATTTATTTAGAAAACGAACATTATTATAATTTGTTATTATTACTTTTCATTCCAGGTCTAAATACGCTAGTAGTGAAAACGTGGCATATCCCAGTTTTTGCAACCTGGTGACAGGGCAATTTACAGTTGAATCGTATAACAAAGTAAATTCCTAATGTCTGATTCGGTAAGAGTAAATTGATTATAGCGAGATATCAGAAAACAAAATCAAGCTCGTTGATGTTAGAAACCAAGAAATGATTTCTGATGTTAGCGATTGATAGCTTTTTAGAATAATTACTTTTGTTTCTAGGAAAGTGAGAGACTTTTATCCCCAAGCAAATGGAGCAAAAGATTCGATTCGATTCAACTGGAATTGCATTATTACAATTTCGTTAAACAAGGTGAAGTAAAATTAATGTTAGACTTAATTGATAGAATTGTTCATTAATAACTACAATTGGACCGTTCGCGATTTATTAAACTTTTAATTCAATGGTTCCGCTGATGTCATTCGTTCAATAAATCGATTATGACAGTTCAGTGAAATATTGAAAACGTATTTATTATTCCAGTAACCGAGGATGTTCGTAAAACTATAAAACATAAACTCGATGTCCCGTATGGAACGACAGAACGAACTAAATATGATGTCTACGGAACTGATTTGCCGAAAGTTAAGTATTGACATATACGGAATTGTTAAAACTTATAATAAGTACATTTCGCATTAATCAGCTATAATCGAACATTATAATTAAATTATACATCCATTTTAGATTCTCCCATATTTGTATTTATTCACGGTGGTTACTGGCAGGAGAGTAGCAAAGATTTGGCTACGGTTCCCGTTCCCGTTTTTGTTCGCAACGGAATTAAAGTCATAACCGTTGGCTACGATTTATGCCCAAATGGTAAGTTCTTGTTTCAAATGTAAAACTCAAAATAAAATGTATATGTATATATTATTTATTATTATTATTATTATTATTATTATTAAAATATATGTATTTTAGTTAAAATCGGGGATATAATAACAGAGATAAAAATGGCAGTTGAAAATATATTACAGTTTGCTCTAAATCTCGGCTGTCGGTACGATACATAGATTGCACATATACGTGGTATTTATATAAAAATTAGTATACGTACATACAACATATGATAATGAAACTCGATGGACACGTACAGGAATGTTTGGGTCGCTGGACACAGTGCTGGCGCGCATTTGGCAGTCAGTCTTTTATATGACAAACAATGGTTGGACGAAATGAAGAAACAAGAATACTTACATTTGTTGAAAGGTGTCGTCTTGATAAGTGGCGTATATAACTTAACACCTCTTGTTGATACTAGTTATAATACAGCTTTAAAACTTACTAAGTATGTACATTTTATAAATTATTTATACCTTTTGTTAGTATTAGTAGTTATTTGGCTTTTAAA